TGCGTCGCTCCAGAGTCAATACAAAATCGGATTATTCCATTCTTTACACATGGACGCCATCGGAACATTAGTCCAATCTATGTAACGCAAAAATATCACAAAGTTCCAATTATTATTCGTGAAAATCTTACCCACTTAGTACTTTTTAATTCTGGTAGTTCACATGAAGATATTTCCAAGATTATTAGACGCTATACTGATGACGTAAAGAATGCATCAATGGTTATTAACAGCTACTTACGCAAAGGTGAATTTATTGTGTTTGATTTAAACAAGCCAGAGGATGATCCACATGCAATTAGATTAAGATTCGATACTCCATTAGATCTGCAAAAGGAGATTCAACTACGACTAAAAAACAATGAAAAAACTATCATTAAATGATGCAAGTATAATTGCTAAAGAACATGATGGAATATGTCTTTCAACTGAGTATGAAGATAACAGAACTCCATTAATATGGCACTGTTCTAAGAACCATGTATGGAGTGCTCCACTTTCTAGAATTAAAAATTTAGGACAATGGTGTCCGCAATGTGCAGGTAAAGTTAAACTTACTCTCGAGGTTGCTAAACAAATTGCGCTATTAAAAAGTGGTCAATGTCTTTCGAAAAAGTATATTAATAATCGATTGCCATTACTATGGAGTTGCAATAAAGGTCATTTGTGGTATGCATCTCTCAGCAATGTAAAAGATCATGGTAAATGGTGCCCATATTGCGCAGGAAATGCCCGTCTTACTCTTGAAGACGCCAAGCAAATTGCACTTAGCCGAAATGGTAAGTGTCTTTCAACTGCATATAGTAATTCCAAAACTCCGATGACATGGAAATGCCATCAAGGTCATATTTGGAACAGTTCGTTTAAACATATTAGAAATTCTGGTACATGGTGCCCATATTGCGCGGGTATTGCAAAACTAACCCTTGAGGATGCAAAGCAAATTGCACTATCTAGGGGAGGGGAATGTCTTTCGACTGAGTATAAAAATATAGACGAACTGCTTACATGGCGTTGCCAATTTAACCATCAATGGCAAAATACACTTTACCACATTAAAAATAGAGAGCAATGGTGCCCATTTTGCATTGGTCGTTACCAAACAATTGAGGATGTGCGTAAACTTGCACGAGTAAAAAATGGAGATTGCCTTTCAGATCGATACTATAACTCGCGTACCAAACTAGAATGGATTTGTGAGAATAAACATCGGTGGGAAGCTGTTCCCAATAGTATTCAACAAGGAAGTTGGTGTCCATATTGTGCAGGTAGTATGAAATTAACTCTCAAGGATGCGAAGCAAATTGCATTATCTAGACATGGGCAATGCCTTTCAACCGAATATAAAAATAATCAATTTCTATTATTGTGGTGTTGCAAAGAAGGTCATTTATGGCAAGCATCTCTTGGTAATGTGAAAAGTGGTACCTGGTGTCCGTTTTGTTATAAATATAAACGCGAACAATTATGTCGAGAAATTGTAACAAAGTATCTTGGTCCACCATCTAAAAATCGCAGACCTGATTTCTTGAAAACGCCTGAACATCCAATAGGTTTAGAACTCGATATTCCTTACTACCATTATGGTTTTGCGATTGAAGTACAAGGAGAACAGCACGAAAAATATATTAAATTCTTCCATAGAGGAGATCCCGTTAATTTCATCAAACAGCAAGCACGAGATCAACTTAAGAAAGAGTTATGCGAAGAAAATTGGATCGTTTTAAGGTATGTTTGGTATTATGAGGACCCCTATCTAGTCATTCTAGAGCATCTTCGAGAATTGGGTCTTATTGAATAAACTCAAAGCTTTAATTTCAGCGTCACAATAAACATATGTTACATCATTTTTTATAAATGTGGAAATTTTTTCGTGATCCGAAACTTTAATGTTGTAGTTTGGAACATAATATCATATATATTGTAGTTATTCATGCTATCCGATCTAAATCTAATAAAAACTTAACGAATCAATCAATTTCTTTAATTGTGGCGAGTCCAGAAATTTACGCGTAAAAGACATTTGTTCGGTTGGTGTAGTAATGTCACTACGACATGTTCTATATTTAAAATCCTTTGCGATCCGTTCAACATGCTCCTGCATTGTAATGGCAAATGAAATTACTATTACCGTAAGTGAAATTTCTCATAAACAAGGAAAATGTGACATATACCTCTAAAGATATCAAATGATGGATCGCGACTCCTGCAAGCGGAATCATGGTCTTGTCAACTACCAGCCTGGTAGTGAGGAATGGCCAGGAACGGTATAAACCGTCATACTCGAGATCCATAGAGTAAGATTCCATGGAATCACCTAATTATTACAGATAATCAATATACAGTATATATATTACCTGAAGAGCTTCCAATTTCTTTCTTTCTTTATTTAACTGATGATCACACATCTTATTTTCAATGGGAAGCCAAAGTCTGTCTATATCATTGCCTTTTTTCCGTTGATCCTAAATACTTAAAAAATTTTTATTAATTTGATCTTAATGAATAATTTTTTTTTGCTAATCAATGGCAATAAAGTGCTACATCAAGCTACAGCAAGCTAACAGCCCATCAGAAGAACAGCTAATAGCCACACTTCCTAGCCATAGATGCCTAACAGGCATTTAGAGTTTTTACTCACTGATAAACCAGTGACTACAACGAGCTAACAGCCCATCAGAGAAATAGCTAACAGCCACGCCTCCTTGCTATAGATGAAACATTGAGTCATGCCGTATGACAGCTGATGATTAGTTTCATATAGAAACTCTTATTATGACGTAACACTAAAAAAAAAGTATTAAAAGTAAACTTAACTTTAATAACAGCCAAAAGGCTATTTGCTTTCGTAATTTTCTTGTTGTCTGTGCAAGTATTAACAATCGTACGGAGACTTTTCGCAAGTTTGTCCGAAGACTTATCGTAAGCCAGGTTTACTGGATTCCTTTCGTTATCCTGGATCCACTCTACATAAAATTGCAAAATATTCCAATCTTCCGCGTCGGTTCTGTCAAAATAAGCGTGCCATAAGTTGGCCATGGTAAAAGGTTTTGTCAGAAAATAAACACGTTTATCTTGCGATTTGATTGGTTTTATATAATATGATCTATTTTTGACACGTGGAATTCATTTCGGGATGATCGTTGCATGATCTATTTCAGGCGTGTATTAGTATACTAATTAATTTCCCGGTGTGACTTAATACTCTATTACGTAGTGCTATAATCATATCTTCAATTTTTTAAATTGAAAGTTAGAGGTCGGCTAAGTAAAAATATAGAGAAGCGGAATTTAAAGGGAGGAATAAAGCATAAATGCCTGCTATTAACTGTCTCACTTTTAACTACTTTACTATCGATCCAAGCACCTATTTTATCTAAATTACTACCTCTTAAATCATTGGTTTTGCGATAATAATTTTTAATCGAATCTTTACCAATTTTTCCCACCCCGAGAGTACAATATTACACATATCATCAAAAGAACATTTTTTTTCTTCCATAATTTTATCGAAAACAATCTTAAATTGGTTCCAAATTTCTGAAGTTATATCCGAAAATGATCGCTGGCTCGAATCAGAAGCTTCGGATTGATTACCGTCATTTTGTTGATCTAATAAGATGTTTCGAAGTTGATTAATCTCATTTTGGAGCGTCGCGATAGATCCCTCGATTGATTCGAATTTGGATGTAATTTCACCAAAATTATTATAATGAGTTTGAAGGATTTGTTCGATCCCATCAAGTCTAGCAGTAGAAGTATGCTTGTCGTCTTGCTTAGCGAAACGTGAAAAATACAACGTGGCGCCAATGATGAAGTACATCAAGATTTTCTCGATGAACGTCAATAGGCCGGTGAAATCTAAAAATGGAGTAGTTCCCGAAACAGTAAGCGATGTCATCTATAAGTGGAAATTTATCTGTTAGCATATATACACGAGTATGGGGAAGATGTCATAGCATATAAACAAATAAAAATAAACCTTAATTATAAGAAAACAGATAGTGTTTAAAATGTATGAATTTTTTATTGTTTATTTTCGTGGAAAGGTGTATTAAGATTTAATGTATTAAGATTCGTTAAATGTTTTATTGCTTTGATCCGTTATTATCATGAAATGGATAAAGGACATCACAAATATTTTTCTTCACCTTTTTATACAAAAAATCACAGATCAGAATTTATTTATAGACTCGGACGGTAAAGGGCAAGAAATTGCCAGAACTTTTTATTGCAGAGCAGGCCTATAAGGGACTCGGGTACGTAAGTACCATTTTTTCAAAATAAGAGTCATGGGTAACCCCTACATCTTACGTATGTGAAATGTGTTAATTGGATCAATAATTCTTTACTCTTATTATTAATGTTAATCTGTGGCAAAAGACAATAAAACATAATGGGCAAAGCCCCAGAGTCTAATAACTTATGAGATATGACGTTTATTACTCGTACAATTATCACAAATGTAGGACGAATTCAACGATTAATTGATCCTCTAACTAACCTGATTAATTTCTTTTTATAATAGCCTCACCTTCGATCCTCCTTTTTAAATTCATGAATTAACCACTTTGTGATTAAGAATGAAAGTAATACAACACCAAAACTACGTAACTGTTTATTTGATTTAGTATAGACCTCTTATCTTTTAGGGAAAGTGTATTTACTTTGTAAAAAAAGCTCTGCTCCGATACAAATCCCAAAATAGAAAATTTATATAGACAATGAATAATCTTTACTGTTGATCTATCTCGTGTTATTACCCCAGATTGTTCGATACCCATATTGGATTTGACAATGCACCAATGTATTAGTAGTTAAATCAACCAATCATGTTGACGTTGGCAAAAAGTTTTTATTGGCACAAATAAAAATAGCACGGCTATTACTGTGTACATATGAAGCGGAAAAACTATCTACCAATTATTTTTTGGTAATTTTTTTGATTCGTGTTCTCTTACTAGCAGGAGAATTATCGACAGTTATCCGATCCTTCAACAATGCCACAATAATTCCGATTACCTTTTTCACATTATTTTTGAGTACGTCGAGATTTTCTTTGATTACAGACTTTGAAAGGGTAATTTGATATTCACTACTACTCGTACAGTAAATACCATCCGATGTATATATGATGAAGTGCCATTCCATGGCTAAAAATAAACCCAATGATTAGCAAAAATCACATGATTAAAATTTCAGTAGTGAAGCTCATTGTTCGTTGTTACGTGATAGAAAAACTTCACATACCTGTTGACACGATCCCATATAGATAGTCGAAATACTCGTTACCAAATGCCTCATCTGCTGTCCGTTTCTTCTTATTAGTCTGGTATGCACTTTCGAGTTGTGCTAGATTTTGAGCATATCCAATCTTAATATTTCGAGGTTTCCCCTCTGTTATACAAAGAAGATCCTCAACACTCTTAATTGTGTAGTCGACTTGACCTGTTGACTCTTCACCCGATATATCCTTTTTCAAGGTGATATAAATATCCTCAGTTATTTTTTTAATGTTAAGTGAGGCATTTCTCATGATCTTTATTAATATAGTAAAATGAATTGTTACATGATTAATATTA